TTTCACACGAGGGTTGTTGGGCAGCGCGCGTGTCCTTTTTTGCTTGAGCACTGTGTCATAGACACAAAAAGAGGTTGACAACCATTCATTCACTGCTGTGTGACATCCTTGTGGCGCACATGCGACTGCGGCAAGAATTGTCATCAAACACATGCGGCCTCACATGATTCACACTTTTTTGCCCGCCAGCAGTCCGACTCCTCTGTGTGTCTTTTGCATATCATACACAGAGCAGACAACCCTTCACCGCGTCACTCGCAATCTCTGTTGGACATCGTGCTTTTCCAGCCACACACAAGTATAGTACTGCTGCCACAGGGCACCGGAAGAAGCAACTTCGCCCGCCATCCTCTTGCTCATCTCGAACAACTCGGTGCGGCAAGAATCTCGAAGTTGCAGGAACTCCAAGATGCCGCGCATGCAGTTTCTGTGACAGGCCAACGCACCATTAGCGCCAGACATGCCTATGTTATCATACAATGTCACACAGAGAGCGCAACCACAAGGAAACCAAACCCAACCACGCACAACTCTAGACCCTTCCTGCCTCAATGATGTCAGGTATGTCTCGGCGTTCTGTATCTTCTCATGGTACGTTCCCTTCGTACCGATCCATGACATTGCCAGATTGCTGGGATCTAGCCGTCGCATCAAAGGATCAGTGGAGAAGTTCCCCTCACAGTAGAGGATTCGCCACAACTGCGCTTCGTGCCAGGTGCCTTGATGGAGTTTACTCAACTGCCCGGTTTCTTTGCAGAAGCAAGGGATGTAGCCCATCTGCAATGTCCTCTCGGTCAAAAATGCAAAATGCACATGCGCGGCACAATATAGAACAAACGAAGTCCCAAAACCACAACGAGAGCACACCTACATCAAAACACAACACCTGTTTGGCGGCTTGCGCGTCTCCTCCACAAGTCGTTCTGGTCGAACGCGAGCTTGCCATGCTCCATTAATTCACGAAGGTTTAGCAGGCCCAACAGCGTCAAAAATTGCTCGTGCGTGAGCAAGACTCTCACAGCCCAGTACTGGTTCCTGAAGGTGGGGATCTGATCGTGCTCACTTTCGAGAAAATCTGCTGTTTTCCCAATACGTTGCGGCCCCAGGGGCTGTACGCAGCTTCCACGTAAAAGATCTTTGCTTGCAGCATGGCTATGGCTTCGACGCGTTCCACCTCCATCAGCCGCAGCTTTTCCCTCAGCACGTCTGCAGCCCTGTTGCCGTGGTACTTCTCTACCATTTCCCCCATGGCCAGCTGGCCATCCCTCAGGAAGTTCATCACCAAGCGCATCTGATCAACTTCCCACAAAGTTGGGAACACTCGGCTGTGAGATACAAACATCATGAGCTTCGCGGGTGAGGACCAGGCCAGGATCTGCCCTAGGTCTTCTTGAAAATAGGCAGCCTCTGTTTGCGTGGCCGCGCTTGGGAACAACTCCGGATCCAAGAGGGGTGTATCACCTGTCGCAGCAGCATCAACCGACCATGGATCCTGCTGCAAAGCCTGGGTGACCAAGGGCAAATTTCCCAAAATCGACAAACTCAACTGATCCCTGCGCCCCAGAGTCCCGCATAAAGATGGCAAGACCCGTTCGGTTGATCGCCAGGTACCGGCAAGATGAAGCTCCAAACCCCCCCCCCCGGCCGTTCAAGCGCCCGACTTGCTTCCCCTGCTCGGCCGCCGCCGAGTTCGCCTGGCCCAGGCAGGGGTCATGGGGATGTGCAGACAGGGATCTGGGTTTTCCTCAACCCCAAAACGAAAACTGCGGCCTGGAACTCAAATGTGACTAACAGGGGGTAGCACAGAAGCAAGACCTAAAGTGCCGCCCCTCACCTTTGCAAGAGCGACTCGGGAAAGTGATCCTGGCAAGCAAGATTTGCGCCACCACTGTGGCCTGGCAGTACTTTGCCTTTGTCAACGCCACCCCACAAGTCGGGGTGAAATCATCGACCTTGTAAATTCCCCACAAGTTGTCGGTGTCTCAGAATGTATTGGGGCGAAATTCTCGCAACAACATCGATCAATAGCAAGGAAAGTCCCCGTTGGAGCTCGCGTGTGCCTCAAAACCCGGCAGCCCTCAAGATGTGTGTATCCGTGTGTCTGTGTGATGACGAACCTCATGATGAGCACGAGTGTGGCGAAAAAAGGCTGTTCTGAGAACCACGATGATGACGATGCCAACGACGATCACGATGGTGATGGTGGTGGCGATGATGGTGAAGCGTTCCACCATAGAAACAGAAACAGCCAGCCGCTTTTGCAAGGCGCGATGTGTTTTGCACAAGGCTTCCGAGCCTCCAGGATCTTCACCTGCGCCGGCTCCGGCAGCTCCTTCAAATGCTTCGCTTCGTTTGCCTATGAAGTTCAAGTCACTTTGGCAGCTTAAAGCCTGTAACACAGATGGTGTGTTCAACCTTGTTTGCCTCAAGTTGTCCGAACCTCTGTGATTGAGAAGCCATCTGAGAGGAGTCGTTCGCATCTCAAAGCTGCCTTGATTTTGCGGGGCATCGCGCTGAAAAAAAGCTTCGGCACAACAAGAGAGGCGGCCAACCAACATCACGCTTTCAGCTCAAACCTCTGAAAACGCGAGTGGGAAAACGGAAACTCCTCCACGCTGTCGGGCATGATGAAGCCCCAGCCTGACTCGGGGCCCACGGCTTAGCTCCGATGCCCAATTTCCGCACGGAACGAGGCTTCGAAGTCAGTGGCTTCTTTTAGGAGTGAGAAACTCCCACGGGGAGGCTGCCTTTTGGAATGGGACAAGCTTTCATGTGATGGCGTAGCTCTTGAACCTGCCAACCTGGGTTCAGGGGTCCTACCTGAAGCACCATTCACAAGCAGGTACCCTCAAAAGGTGGCTCGACAGGCACATCTCTCGTTGGGGGTGTCAACTCCAAATAGGCCGTTGCGGAGGCGACTCAGAAACAAAGATTAACCAACCATTTCCAGACTCTGGGACCTAAGATCAGGGTCCAAGCCCTCAGCAATCCAGAAACCTACAAGCTGCTTGTCCTGCGTATGCCTGTTCCGCTGCCAACCATCCACTGCCAGGTTTCTCAGCCTATCGGTTGCACCTCACAATTCGGACGGGAAACACATATCAACCTAGTACCCTCCGGCCAACAAACATGAGGGCAAAGACCCCTTTTGGAAGACGACTCCTTTTGGCAAGTTCGTGCGCATTTATTTGCTTGGAGCCTGGGCATGCGATTCGATTGTGCATGTTCCTCGCATCCGCTCCAACGTTGCGACGCCCGGAGCACGGCGCCCGAGAATTCCTCCTTCCACATCCAGAGGAAACTCTTCCCAACAAGTTGGCTCCAAAGGTGATGTCTGAAACAACCATTTTGGGGAAGCTGCCTGAACCCAAGAACCGTCAACAGTCCGCCGAAGAAAAGCGCTGCACCTCTTCACCTGCTCAAATCGCGCGAGTCATCCTGACATCTGCAGATTCTCGCAAAAGGGGCTCTCTCACAGGCCTGCCACGATCTTTGGGGGTTCCTCCGAATACAGGTCCATGTCCGATAATTTGGTTTTTCCTTTTGGCTTCCCTTTGCCAAGCGCGACCGGCGTCTTCTCGGAGACGCGCACTGGGCCCTGGGGCCGAACTTCTGGTTGTAGCTGGCCACGCTGCCGGTGAAGGTGCCCCCCAGCACCTGGAAGGCGGGAGGTCTTGGGGTGAATTTTGGCGCCCGAAACCGAAATGGCCCCGCAAAGGTCGAGGCTCTGAACCTGACCATGGCTCCAAGCCGGAACTGGTCAGCATCAGAATCCACCTATTCGGAATGGATGGGGCCTGCTTGCTTGTTTCGGTAGGAAATGTGGTTGAATGACGCTTTCCAAGTGTGGAAATGGCTGGGAGGCGCATTCCCATTCTCCCTAAGATCAAGCAAAGATCGCAACTTGCTTAATTGGAGGTTGGTGTTTGGAGAGCAGACGTCACCATCTGGCTGAATCCTTGACAGGCGCGGTGCATCTCCAGAAACAGGTTGAAGACAGCTGTCTCAAAAGGGCTCAGAGAAAGGTCTCAAGGTCTTTTGCGAGTTTCCATCAAGGCCGGTTCAAGTCTTTGCTTCACGCGACTTTGGCATGGCATGCCCGGGCACCGTGTGAGCGTTCCCGGTCCCAAGTCTTTCCCACGGACTCTCCCGCTTTTGCTCCGCAAGTGCCGTTTGGCAACTCCATGGACTTCCGTTCGCGCTGTGCAACCGACGCGACTGCCTGGGCGTCCCAGCGAAAAAACGCGCCCAAAAGCCGAAAGCTAAGGACAGAGTCTGAGAGAAGCTTGCCGGCGCTTTCTGGCCGTTTTCTGTGGCGTTTCTTCGAACTCGCTGCTGAACATCCAGAGGCCTGGCGGCCCTGCAACCCGAATTCCGCCCTTCTGAAGGGCCGGGGTGAAACATGTCACTTCCATAGAGGGGCATTCGGTTGATGTCAGCCCAAGCCAGATTCACGTGGAACTGCCCAGGTAGCATGCAGAATGCAACCTGCTCCCAACTCCAGCATGCTTGCAGGGTAGAGATTGGTCTTGCTCAAATATGGCTATGAATAAATTTAGGGAACCACTTCACAAGTGGTTGATGGACATGAATCTCACCTAACTGATGTCCACCTAAAAGTCCCCTATCAAAATTGACACCCTAGCAACTTGCGCGTTGGTTTTGCTCAACCTGCCATTTTGCCGTGCCCTTCCATGGAACACATCGCCCACGCAGCCAATTAGGTGCCACGGCAACCAAGATCCTTCCAGCATCTGCACGCCAGTCGCAAACTCATTCAGTCCAGTGCAAGTCTTGAAGCCCAAACTGGCATGCAGGTCTTGAATCCATCGGACGGAGCGCTCGCAAAAAGCCTTCGGCTTTTAGCCAGAGAACTCGTCCGACACCCCATTAACGCCGGCCAGGACTGCTCCAGTATAACAGAAATTGCTGTGAAGCTGAGTGCTCCCCAAGCAAAAGTCAGATGGAAGTTGCTGACACCTGGTGCCATATTCTGTCCCTTGTCTCTCTCCAAATTCTGACCGACGCTGCAAGTGCCCAAAACGCAAATGCTGTACAGGAAGAAGAATATGTACACCTACACTTACACGGTCTCCGAGGCTGGGCCTGCAGACAGTGTGGCCGAGACTCCGAGTCTACGGGTCATGGCTTAGTCACCCTATTGACATGGGGTGACCCATGTATCATATAGGGCCAAGTGCTACATGATCCATCCCCTGCGGTCTTTTCAAGAGCAGATGAGTATACTCTTGTTTGATCTCCCGCCCCAATTGATTTCCATTTTGGTTCACAAGGCAAATGGTTGATTGACTATGGCTGCCGTCTTTTTGAGATTGCTTTGAGAGCAAGTCAAATCGATACGCCTTTCCAATGAAAAAGCCTGGGTCCGAAAGAATTTCTCTGTAAGGGTCATTCATTGCAGTGGCTCATGGCCATTTCAAGCTGCAATGTTTGAGAAATATCGACCGAGTCAAAGCACATGGATTGTCATTTGGAGGCCCCCAATGGCAACTGCTCCGTTTTGGCTTTCCTTTCAATCCGACCAAAAAGGGCTTCCCCCCAAAAAAGAATCGCATCCATTGGGGGGTTCTTGAAAGTCGGCGTGCTCCATTTCAAGGACCTCTCAAGGCCATTTAGGAGGGGATTCATGCCCGCCAAATGCGTTTCAGGTTCCTCAGAACCCACGTGAAACTTCGGAGTGATCCAAAAGGACCCTGAATCAGGGCGGATTGATTCAGATCAGTACAAAAAAGGAAGTTTGTGGATTTTTTGGGCAACGCATCACCTTCCAACGGCGGCGAACGAAGCCCCTTTCCGGAAATCTCGCTCTGCCCCCCACACAAGCCCGAAGGGTTCCACCGAATCTCGCCAAGCGCAGCTCAAAGCGACCCCAAACCTCTCGAAGGAAAGCCTTGGGAACCCTTGCAGAAGCCCCGGAAGGCGTGCCTCACTGGGAGGCGCGCACCGGCGTCTGCTGGCCCCGGCTCATCGGCCTCCTTGCCTTCGACATGCCTGGGCCACAGCCAACGCTGAAACTTTTCGGAACCAGGCGAAACCCAAAACAAACGCACTGGCAGCCCGGAACCCTCCAAATCACAATCGGAACCCCATACCACAGGAACCCAAGGCAACTGCTTCCTTGGAGCCGGACTATCCAAAGACCCTGAGCTCCAACGGTCGGGGACCCGTTCCACTGAAGCCCTGAATCTGCACCTTCTTCAGCGCGGCCCGCTTCCTTTGCTTCCGGCTCGGAGGTTCACAATAGGAAACTCCCCCCCCTTTCAGAGCCTTTCTGGGGCCGGGAGGTCGACCTCAAGGGTTTCATGGCGGTGCCCTATGAAAATTCCAACGAGTGGCGGGTTGTCCAGTTGTCCCCTGGACCTTTGACGGACGGAACTAGGAAACACGAAATGAGGATGTCAAAACATAATACTAGGCGCCCATGTGGGAACATGTTTAAACGAAGCAACCATTCAACCAACCATGCAATGGAGGTCCTGGCTGCCGATTTCTCATGCAGCAGGAACTCGGTTGAAACCCCCAACCCCACAAACGCACAAACCCCATCCACCCCAAAAGCCCTCCAAACACGCTACCCATCCCCCCCAAAAAAAAACAAAAAAATATAAAGGAAGCCGAGATCGGGGCTGCGGCTCACCGCCGCGGAGGCCGCCAGCGTGGGCTGCGCCGCCGGCAGCTGGCCGCGTGCTTCGGGCGTGTCTCGTTGTGGCCGTTTTGGTTTACTTCGAAAGTTGAGAAGGAACTTCCTGTACGGACACTCACATGGCCATGGGTCAATACCCCATACCCCCAGTGAACATCCCAATCCCCACTAGAATAGACTAAAATGAGTAAATGCTCCTATTCCAACCGGCTTCGCCGGCTCTACTGGTAATTCAAACTGACAGTTCAGGTAGTTGTCGAATGAGAATAGCTACTACCCTGTGCACTTCCGTGTTTGTTTGAGGAGGGTCAGGATGTTTGGATTTGGGTTCGGGAGTTTGGGAGGGTGGGTGTTTGGACTTTGGCGCGGGTGGGGCACCAAAGTTAGTTGGGAGCGGGCTGCAGCGGCCAAACTCCACCTGGAGGCGATGTTGCAAACTCTCAAAACTGCCAAAGGACTGTACGGCGTGAGATACTCTTCCACCAGAAAAGCAAATACCCAAGAAGGTGGGTTGCAGAATCAAGCTCCAAGTGCCATGGGGGGGTGGGGACTGACTATCTGGAGCCATGTATGGACTCATGGCCATTTCAACGCCCGCCCCCCCCCCCCCCCAACAGAATCAAGCCATATTTGATGGTTAAACCCATAAGCAAGAGGTCCATACCTGTTCATAGGTTCATGTGTTATGGCTTTGAAGTCAAACATTCCAAGGAGCCAAATGAGAGCAACTTTCAAAACATAACTATACCTTGCCCCCAGAGATACAGTCCCCCCAAAGAGGAGGCAGCACCGCATCAAATACGAGACCCGCAAAATGGATTTTGGTTGTCCTTTTTGTCTTCAGCCAACCCCGCGAAAACAGCCCACCTTGAAGCTCCCGCTGAGGCTCATCTTGGATCCCTGCCGCTCCCAGCCTGGCCGCTTTCGGCATAGCGCTTCGAACAGGGGCTTCCCCTACAAAGTGCAACTCCCCGAAAGGGTCCAATCCTGAACAGACCGTCCTCAAGGAACTAGTTGTTTTTTGGGGCGTCTGAATCTGGGAAGCAGCTGGCTGAGGCACCACATTGACAAAGTGTTTAGAACATCCTCAAGATGTTGCACTCTGCCGAGCAAACAGATGCTTGCAGCATCTATTGCTTCAAGCAAAAAAGCCATGCTAGGGAACCCTTGAACTTGTGCTGGCGTTAGGCAGCAAACCAAGAGACAACTCGGCACACAGGATAGGCAGATTGCTACTGACCGGAAATAAGGAATCAAAGGACCTTGAGCTTGTTTTACCAGGTGTGCTTGTAGTAGTTTGCCCAGGTTCCCTGGTTTGCTTTTAATTCCACCTGGCAGTAATCTGAACAAATGGAAGCCTGGCCCAGAGAAACAACAAAGATTCATGGCAGGTCCGCGGTTTCTGCGCACGCCTTGTAGCTGTGGTGCTGCTGGTGCGGCGCCGGTCGGCGCTGTGGGAGCCTAAGGCACACACACACACACACCACGAACCGCGCTCGGCGCTGTGGTCAGGAAAGACAAGGAAGCCCTTCGCCACTGGGGTTTGTATGATTCCCCTGTGCTTGTTGGCCAGTTTTGTGCCAAGCGGGCAACCGTTACCCTAATCAAGCCAAATTTGATAGTCAAATCCAACAACAAAAGGTTCGTACCTTTTCATAGGTTCCTGATTATCGTGAAACCCAGTCCCCCCAAGTGGAGGCAGTGATTCATCAAATACAAGACCCGCAAAATGGATTTTGGTTGTCCTTTTGTCTTCAGCCAACCCCACGAACACAGCCCGCCTTGAAGCTTCCGCTGAGGCTCATCTTGGATCCCTGCCGCTCCCAGCCTGGCCGCTTTCGGCATAGCGCTTCGAACATGGGCTTCCCCTACAAAGTGCTCCCCGAAAGGGTCCAATCCTGAACGGACCGTCCTCAAGGAACTAGTTGTTTCTTGGGGCGTCTGAATCTGGGAAGCAGCTGGCTGAGGCTCCCCATTGATCAAGCGTTTAGAACATTCTCAAGGTTGTGGCACTCTGCCGCGCAAACAGATGCTTGCAGCATCTATTGCTTCGAGGGCCAAAAAGCCATGCTAGGGAACCCTTGAACTTGTGCTGGCGTTAGGCAGCAAACCAAGAGAAAACTCGGCACACAGGATAGGCAAATTGCTATCGACCGGAAATAAGGAATCAACGGACCTTGAGCTTGTTTTACCAGGTGTGCCTGCAGTAGTTTGCCCAGGTTCCCTGGTTTGCTTTTAATTCCACCTGGCAGTAATCTGAACAAATGGATTCCTGGCCCAGAAAAACAACAAGGGTTCATGGCAGGTCCGCGGTTTCTGCGCACGCCTTGTAGCTGTGGTGCTGCTGGTGCGGCGCCGGTCGGCGCTGTGGGAGCCTAAGGCACACACACACACACCACGAACCGCGCTCGGCGCTGTGGTCAGGAAAGACAAGGAAGCCCTTCGCCACTGGGGTTTGTATGATTCCCCTGTGCTTGTTGGCCAGTTGTGCCCCAAGTGGCAAACACCCCAACAAGCCGTACTTGAGAGTCAAGCCCGTGAAAAAGAGTTCATGCCAGTTCATAGGTTCATATCGTGAAACCCAGTCCCCCAAAGTGGAAACAGCGCCACATCTAATACGAGACCCGCAAAATGGATTTTGGTTGTCCTTTTTGTCTTCAGCCAACCCCACGAACACAGCCCGCCTTGACGCTTCCGCTGAGGCTCATCTTGGATCCCTGCCGCTCCCAGCCTGGCCGCTTTCGCCATAGCGCTTCGAACAGGGGCTTCCCCTACAAAGTGCTCCCCGAAAGGGTCCAATCCTGAACAGACCGTCCTCAAGGAACTAGTTGTTTTTGGGGTGCCTCAATCTGGGAAGTAACAGGCTCCCCATTGATAAAGCGTTTGAACATCCTCAAGGTTGTTGCACTCTGCCGCGCAAACAGACGCTTGCAGCATCTATTGCTTCGAGGGCAAAAAAGCCATGCCAGGAAACCCCTTGAACTTGTGCTTGCCTAACAAGAGAAAGCTCGGCACACAGGATAGGCGCATTGCTATCGACCGGAAATAAGGAATCAAAGGACCTTGAGCTTGTTTTACCAGGTGTGCCTGCAGTAGTTTGCCCAGGTTCCGTGTTTTGCTGTTAATTCCACCTGGCAGTAATCTGAACAAATGGATTCCTGGCCCAGAAAAACAACAAGGGTTCATGGCAGGTCCGCGGTTTCTGCGCACGCCTTGTAGCTGTGGTGCTACTGGTGCGACGACGTTCGGCGCTGTGGGAGCCTAAGGCACAAACACCACGAACCGCGGTTGCTTCGCTCGGGGGGACGTGGGTTTGCCTCTAAACGCAGAACCAATGGTCTCTCGGTGACCAGGTCTTACAACCCTGTTTCACTGCAACCTGTGTGGTCAGGGAAGACAAGGAAGCCTTGTTGATTTGAAGATGCCACTGGGGTTCGTATGTCCCTTGTGCTTGTTGGCCAGTTGTGCGCCAAATGGGAAACCATTCGCCTCCAACATGTCTGCACTGACCCCTTTTGGAAAACGACCTTTCCCTTTGGAGGGGCTTGTGCTCACTTCCGTGTCTGTTGGTAGCAGGGCACTCCCGCTTCGACAATCTACCAACATTACAGGGAACAGTCCTTGATTCCAGTAGTTACAACCCGGACAGCCGGCCTCAAGGTGTGAGCGAACAACAACAAGGCAGCGACATCAAGTAATACTGTATCAGCCAAAACTTCGGTAGACGGACAAATTATTCCAAGCCCACATGTGAGGATGGGTCCAGAGCTCCCAAAATCCTTCTGTGCTAACTTGTGACTTTTTGTCACTTGATTTGTTTCGTCCATCCCCAAAGCCTTTCAACATTGAGATTTTGGGGCGCGGGAAAAGGACTCATAGCGGAGGGTTTGAATCTCTCACAGGGGGCAGGGACGGTCGCTTCAGACTGTTGGGGTCTTGTGTTTGAGAGAAACACATGTAAGCGTACCTTTTCCAGCGATTTCGGTGTGCGACACCATGGTCATCTACCAAAAGCTGCATCCCGCCACCTCTGAAGAAGAGATCCCTACTTTTCAGTGAGCTCAGCGTAGGCCGACTTGACTCATGAATGTTGACTGACGATTCATAAGCCTCTGGTTGCTTAGCTGGGCTTAGCGAGGGTCCCATGTAGAGAGGATGCTTCACTGCGACATGAACCTGGGATTGGTCGGCTTCAAAGGTTCAAGCGCTATTTTTGCCCCAGCCGCTAAACGACATCAAATATGTGTTCAAAGTCGCGAGTGGTGTTACACCTTTTGGCCCCTTGGATGCTTGTAAAAGAAACAAAGAACAAACCAATGACGGGCTTCTCTATTTCTCTTTTTGGGACTGTCTCAAACAGAGAAACCCCCAGACTGGGCGAGGCCTCTGTTCCTGCACAACAGGGTAACACAAGGGGCTAAATGGTTGCACCCTATTCCCCCACAACGAGATGTGGTTTCAGAGTCACCCGAACCCTCATAGCGCTAGAATCAACTCTCTGTTAAACTTGGGGTCTAGAGCACTATTGAGTGGCTCGTCCATCTGTGGCCTTTCAAATCAAGGGTGCACTACCAAGCATGCGTTCAACATGGGGAACAAACATGGCTCGGACAACCGGCCCACGCGCCCGTTTCTCCAAGGCACATCTGCGTCCGCAGCGCTGCGCGGGCCTGCGGAGCGCCCCTGTGGACAAAGCCCAAAACTGGGCATCCTACAACATGGACACATCAACAGGCACGCAATATACATTCCTAAAATCCCCAAAATGGGGCACCTCCTAGAAAAAGATGGGTTCCATTGATGTGCTCGAAACACAAGCCAACACAAGGTGCCGTAGTTTAGGAAGCACCCACACGTGCAAGCTGCCACTGGAATATAGCCTGGGCCGTCCCGACCCCTCACTGGCTCCATCATCCACTGGCGCCCGGTGCAAATGCACAATCCCTCGCTTGTGGCTTCCAGCTTCTCATGCAAGTGGGGGACCAATGAACCGTTGGGGATCCTCTGGGAAACTCTGAGCCCTAAACCGCCTACAGCCATACACCCACCCAAAGCCAACCCAAAGCCAACCCCAAACCACCAGTTGCATGCTCCTTTCCCGGCCTTTTCTCTCTTTTTGTGAGCGGCTTGGCCCATTGGCCCCAGAAAAAAAAAAAGAGAAGAAGGAAAAAAAACCGGTGAGAAGAAACGGGGGCTTCCCGGGCCAAAACCGCCCCATCCTTCCACCCCTCGCCCCCCGCCTTCGAGCCGGGGCCGCGGGCTCACCTGGCCGCTCACCAATCCACTCCCTCTGGGGAAGGGACGAAAGATCCGGGGAGAAAAATCTCGAGTGGCGCCTGTTGGAACTACCCCCCCCCCCAAAAAAAAAACAAAAAAACTAGATGGAATTTATAAAATCAAGAAGGAGCCAACCGGAAACCGAGAAAAAACCGTGCATCGATGCTCAATCACCCAGAAGTTTTGACAGTATCCCCCACCCTTGCAACAAAGCAATCCTCATCATGGGAATCAGGACATGCTCACAGAAGGTATGGGGGGAGGCCCTCCTTCCAAAATGATCACCCGTCTTCCTGTAGCTTCAACACAGGACCCAAACATTGCGTGGGGTTGTCCTCAAAAAATCCAAAAAGGGGACCTTAAAAAGGCACGCTTTGGTACCGGGGCACATCCCGAAAGCCATGTTTCCCTTGACACGTCATTTCTGGGAACATGGGTCTGGTGTGTCCTCCAAAAAGTCAAAAAAATCCAGTGTGTAACAGCTGATTCAGAGGTTGTTTAGGGTCCAACAATTCTTCTGTGAGTCACCCACAGCGTCTGCCTGGTTTGCTTGCACGCTGTTTAAGCACAAACCGCAGCTCAAACCCCGTTGCAAAGAGTTGTGGTTGGATGTGTTTCGTGGTTCTCTCCGGCAAACGTCACCACATCAAATGGGGACTCAACCAACATTGGCCCAACAGGTGACAAACTCATTCACCAGACTTCTGCAAGCTCCTTCGACCGTAGATTTATAGACCAGCAGCAAAGCACAATGCGCGCCACGATGCTGCGCGACTCCCTGTTTTTCTCCGGGCACTCGCAACAGGTCAGCGCACTGCTCGTAGCTCCGGCTTGGCTTCGACATGGCAAAAGTCTTCGCCGAAGTGTGCTGGAACATTGCAAACAGCTGGCTCTGCAAATTAAGACACACCCCCGCAGATTAACTTGACCTTGGATTCTGGAGGGTTGGACTGCAGTTTCAAACCAGAAAACTGGGAAACTCCCAAGCGACCCTCATAGAGTTCGTTTAACCCCAGAGCTCTTTCTAATTAATGACACCGCCACATGGCACAGCAATTCCGAAAGGCACCAGCAATTCATGATGACATGGGTGACATGGTCAAAGTCCCTCTTAGATTCATAGCTCCGTCTGAGGATTCTGATAGTAATGAATCCAATGATTGGGAATGTATGCTGGTCATGGCACGTTGGATTCCCCGCAAATCACGTTGCAAATGTAAAGGGATCCAGTGTTTCCTCGCAACCTTCAGGAATCCACCAACATGGACTTGGGCATGTCTGAGGTCGGGACAAGAAGCCGACTCCCGCGAGATGGTTTTTGGAATTCCGGTCCCTTCTCATCCTCCGGCAAACAATAGCCTCCATTTGCTGAGAAACCTCCTAGAAAGAATAGAAATCTGTTCAGTAGTGAAAATGTCCGTTTGAAATCAACAGAGGAAATCTGAAGCAAATGGAAGGATAGACTACCAATGACGCCGCATAGACCCAATTCCGGACTAACATGCCCGGTGGATTGACAAGGGGTGTTTCTAAAAAAACACAAACACTTTCTCTTGCACTTTCTTTCAACCCTGGATTCCCGGCACAGCAACCCACGTGGGTTTATCTCGATCCTACACTTCGGACCTGGAAACCGGGGCCGGTCGATGCGCAATGCGCCGGTCGACGGCCAGAAGATACAGAAATGAGCTGGCCCAACCGTCCAAAAGTTGGTGGATTCGCCGAGCAAACCGATGTTGGTTAATTTGGAAGGAATTCCAAAGGTTCATTCCAATTCTGGTTTCCCTAGTTTGTTTTCAGAAGCCCACGGCCCTCGGGTTTTGGGGGCAACTTTTGGAGGAGAATGGAGAGGGTACGGCAAGAGGCGTGAACCCACAACTGGAAGGCAGGCGACACTCCCTAGTCCCCAGGATTCCCTATCAAGATTCCATGGGAGATCGTGGGATTGGAAACGCAGCTTCATGACGGTAGTGAGCACTCAATAGCAGATCACACGCAGACCGCTCGCTATGGTCCTCACTTGCTACCGCCACATTAGCTGCCATGTGCTTACTATGCTCTCCCGCCCTGTCGTACCCCCCAGTGTTAGGCGGCAATCAACTGGAAAGCCATATCCCCTTAGCATACGAAAGGATATGCTGGGAGCCACTGCAGGGTACAGCACGGCCTTGGAAGCATTGTCCGTGGAACATGAGTTGCAAAAACTTTCGGAACTGGTACCTAAGGCATCTCAGCTTAGGAATTTCCTGTCTTGGCCCACATCTGGGGTACGAAAATACTATGTCCAGCTTGTGGTTGACATCTAGTTTGCCGAAGCAAAATAGTTTTGGAGGAGACCCGAGGTGTAAGGTCTCCGACAAGCAATCTTAGTGAAACTTGGCTCCCTCGGCATCCAGCAGAAAGAGTCCTATTGACCATTGCACTTTCCGGCCACCATTCAGGATTGGCCTCTACCCAAGCTACCCAAAAGGCCTGGCTTCCAAGCAATCTTTCTCTTACAAATGCCGACAAGTATATTTAAGTGATGGGCAGCATAATCAACTAAGGATGCGAGTTCCACTCGCACCGCTTTCACACATGCGCTTTGGTGCGCATCTGCAGTGCTAATCCTGCTCTGCAGTCAATCAACACAAACGGGTTGGAGCACTGCTTGGGCCGCCCACCCGCACACACGGGAGCGAAACAAAGAACGTCAGGAATACAGGCAAGGTGGGGGGTTGCCAAAATTCAGTACCATTTTTGTACGCATACCAAATTCGACCTTCCCAGCATTTGTAGCATTTTCCTGGAACCCTGGGACGCATCTTTTCAACCAGCTGGCCACCCCTGTGCAGCCGGAAAAAGGAAACGCCGAAGCTAGAGCTGGCGCTGGAAGCGGAAGTTTCGAAGTACGGAACAACTTTGCCCTTCTCTCTCTCTCTCTCTCTCTCTCGCTCTCTCTCTCTCTCTCTATCTCTCTCTCTTTCTCGCTCTATCTCTCTCATGATATTTATCTTTATTGCGTCTTTCTTTCTCTGTTTTTCTTTCTTGCCGTCTTTGTTTTTCTGTCTCTCTTTCTTCTTTTCTCTTCCTCTTTGTCTCTGTCTTTCTCTTTCACTCTCTCGCTGTCTCTCCCTCTCGCTCTCTGTCTCTCTCGCGCTCTCTCTTTCTCTTTAGTTTTCTCTATTTATTTCTCCCTTTCTCTGTCTTCTTTGCTTATCTCCATCTCTCCCTCGTTCCATGTATTTGTTCTTTCTCTTTGTTTCTTTCTGTATTGTGCTCTTTCTCGTTCTCTTCTCTTTGTTTTCCCTTTTTTTCGCTCTTTCTCTTTGTTCTGTTATTTCCCTTTTGTTATTTATCTTTCCTGTTTCTTTGTCTTTCTTCTTTTCTCTCTCTTTCCCTGCCTCGTCCTCATTATTTTTGCTGTCTCTCTTTCGGTTTCTCTCTCTCTTTGTCTTTCTCCTTCTCCTTCTTCTTATCTCTTTCTCTTTCTTTTTCTTCCTTCTTGTTCTTCTTCTTCTTCTCTTGATCTTTCTCTCTTACACTTTTTCTCTTCCTCTTTCTCTAGTTTCCGGCCCGACAGCGCTGTGCGCCACGAAGCTGTACCTGACCTTGCGAAAGTGCTGCGCCTGTCATGAAACCAGCACCTGGAATTCTGAAAGCGCTGCCGCATGCCAACGTGCTTGCCACAAAACCTTGCGAAAGCGCTGCGCCAGCCATGCAAAGCAATGTCGCGAAAAGTGCGCGCGGCTGTGGCCTCCTACTACGACTACTACTACTACTACTACTACTACTACTACTACTACTACTACTACTACTACTCCTACTGCTGCTGCTGCTGCTGCTACTGCTACTGCCACTGCTACTGCTACTGCTACTGCTACTGCTACTGCTACTGTTACTGCTACTGCTACTGCTACTGCTACTGCTGCTGCTGCTGCTGCTGCTACTGCTACTGCTACTGCTACTGCTACTGCTACTGCTACTGCTACTGCTACTGCTACTACTACTACTACTACTACTACTACTACTACTACTACTACTCCTCTACTTCTACTTCTAATACTATTACTACTGCTGCTGCTGCTGCCGCCGCGGCTGCTACTGCTCCTACTACCACTGCGGCTGCCACTGCCACTCCTACTGCTACTCCTGCTACTCCTGCTGCTGCTGCTACTGCTGCTACTACTGCTTGTTGCTGCTGCTACTGCTACGGCTACCTACGGCTGCTATGCTGCTGCTACCGCCACTGCTACTGCCACTGCTACTGCCACTGCTGCTGCTGGCTACTATGCTCGCCCTGTTTGGCTTATTCCGGAACAAATACCTCCGGGGCGACCCAAAGCATGACACTCCATCATCATTCCAGCCAATATGCCAATATCTGACAACGAGCTTTCCTTATCGGAGGCGTCAAGTCGGGGCGATCCCGCACCCGCCAGCGCCTGGGGTAACAAGCGATCGGACTTCGAGCTCAACGCCGGCTCAGGGCGTGGGCGCTTTGGACATTGCAGCTTGCAGCTGGGAAAATCTCTCGCGAAGCCCGTGGGACTTCAAGTAGTCCATGGCAGTATAGCCCCAGTGATCCCTCTGAACCGGATCAGCGCCGCAACGGAGCAGCAGCAGGACCATGCAGGCATCGCCAGACTTGGCCGCCTGCAAGAGCGGGTAGGTGTACCGGAAACCGCAGCACATGACCTTGCGAGAGTTCACGCCCGCGAACTTGTTCCTTTCCAAAAATGCGGCCACCCTGGCCTCCCGCTGCAGCTGCTTGCGCAAGCTCCTTTGGTGGGTCTGCCAATCTTGCTTCAACGACTCCAAGGGAGTCATTGGGTCTTCAGAGACTGTAGTGGGCTCACCCATGAACCAACTCGTTATATCCTCCTCCACGAGCTTGCACCTGCCTCCAAGCATCTGGAATTGGATTTCCCCCATGGCTTTGGATTTGTGGAGGCGGGCCGCGTTTTGGGCCACTCACTCGAGCCCTCAGGTGAAGCAAGGAGGCCACACCACAAAGTGGTGCGTGCATGTGCTTTGAACCTTCACAAATCGACAGAAGCACTGCTCGGCTTCAAGAACAATTCATCATCCGCAGGTTGCCTTTCGTGGAAGAGAATCAAAGATGCGCCATGCCCTTTTTCTGTCGCTGGAGTCGGATACTTCAAACATGCGGATACCACCTTGGAGGCCACTAAGGAACCCCTTAGTTGTCTAACTTGCGATTTGGGTATTTTCGACGCCTTCGGTTAGCGGTTGCATCGGTGCCGGGTTCCGAAGGGTTACCGCGTAGGTTTGGGGGGTTCGGTGGAGCGGTCTGCTCCATCGCGGGGTTCCGGACTGCAACAGGTTTCTGGAGGGCTCCATGAAGGACAATGAGGGCTGCGGGTTGGAGCGGTTGGATCGGGTTCTCGAGTTTAGTGCTGCGGGCCAGGGTTCCTGAAAGGCTTTTCACGGGCGAGCAACTGACTCTGGACCATGGCAAGAACGATGTCATTTAAGGGGCTCCCACTTTCAGCATTCCAAAGCTCGGGTAAGCTGTGAACTACAAAGATTTGCCGACCTGAACTGCTCATCGTGGGATGATAACGGTTGCAAACCAACGCCTCTAGGGCTGCAAGGGAAAATCCAAATTGAGGAGGGGTTGTCTCATTCAGACACATTAGTACCCGATGTGCGATGTCCAGTTTTGGTTTCCCCAGTCTCGTTGCGTGGCTCCCTTGCTTGGAGTCGCGTGCTCCGATTTCTCGCCTCTGGAAGAGTGAGCTGGGTCCCGCCGCGGCCTGCGCGCGCAAGATATGGCACGTTAAATTGGCGTATGGCAGCCTGTACATGTCCGTGTGCGAGAGTCATTGCCAATATGAATAACTAAATATATGTATATACGTATATTGTGCATGTGATGCATGCCCGCATGAAGAATCGCACTTGAACAATCGCGATGAGTGTTTCCGTACGCGCCCAACCTCGCTGTCAATGTGTGTGTGTGTGTGTGTGTGAGTGTGCGGGTGCATGCCGTGATAATCTGAGTAGATTCGATATTGTGTGTGTGTGTGCGTTTGTTTTTGTGTTGTTGTGTTTTGTGGTGTTGTGTTTGTGTGTGTGTGTGTGTTTGTTTTTGTGTGTTTGTGTGGTTGCGTGTTTGAGCGCTTGCGAGTTTGTGTGTGTTTGTCTGTTTGTGTTTGTGGGTTCCTGTGTTTGTGCTTTTGTATGTTTGCGTTTTTGTTTGTTGTGTGTTTGTGTGTTTGTGTGTTTCTGTTCTTCTGTGTTTGTGCGTGTTTGTGTACTTGTTTGCTTATGTGTGCTTTGTGTGTTTGTGTGTTTCTGGGTTTGTGCATTTGTGGGTTTGTGGGTGTGTGCGTTTTGTGGGTTGTTGTGTTGGTGCGTTTCTGCGTTTGTGTGTGTGTGTGTGTCTGTGTGTTTTGCGTTGTTGTGTTTTTCTGCGTTTGTGTGGGTGTATGTGTGTGTACTTTTGTGTGTTTGTGCTTTTTTTGCGTTTGTGGTTGTGTGTTTGTGTGTTTGTGTGTTTGTGTGTTTGTGCGGATTTGCGTTTGTGTGTTTGCGTGTTCGTGTGGCTGTGTGGCTGCGTGGGTGTGCAGGTGTGTGGGTTGTGGATTTGTGGGTGTGCGAGTTTGTGTGCGTTTGTGTGTGTGTGTGGTTCTGCGTGCTGTGTGTGTGTGTGTGTGTGTGTGTGTGTGTGTGTGTGTGTGTGTGTGTGTGTGTGTGTGTGTGTGTGTGTGTGTGTGTGTGTGTGTGTGTGTGTGTGTGTGTGTGTGTGTGTGTGTGTGTGTGTGTGTGTGTGTGTGTGTGTGTGTGTGTGTGTGTGTGTGTGTGTGTGTGTGTGGTTGTGGTTGTGTGTGTTTGCGTCTGTGTTTGCGTCTGTGTGTGTGTGTTTGTGCGTGTTTCTGTGTTTGTGTGTTCGTCTGTGTTTTGTGAGTATGTGTTGTGTGTGTGTGTGTGTGTTTCGTATGTGTGTGTGTGTTTTTGCATGTGTGTTTGTGTTGTTTTGTGTTTGTTCGTTTTTGTGTTCGTCTGTGTGCTTCGTGTGTGTGTGTGTTGGCATGCTTGTGTGTGTGTGTGTGTGTGTGTGTTTGAGTGTGTATGTGTGTATGTCTGTGTTTTTGTGTTTGCGTGCCAGTGTGTTTGTGAGTTGTGTGTGTGTGTGTGTGTTTGTGTCTGTGTTTGCGTGTTTGTGTGTGTGTGTGAGTGTGTATGTGTGTTTGTGTGTGTGTGTGAGTGTGTATGTGTGTGTGTGTGTGTGTTTGTGTATTTGTGTGTGTGTGTGTGTGTTTGTGTGCATACTTGGATGTCTGTTCGTATGTATGTGTATGGGCATGTATGTATCTACGTATGCCTGCGTTTATGAACGCACTTGCATCTATGTACCTCTCTACATGTGTGCATGGATGGATGCCTGGATGCATGCACATGCACACCAGGCACGTACGTACGCGCATGTACATATGTACGTAGATGTGACTGTATATGCATGCATTTGGCCTTCCTCTGTCTGTGTGTGTGAATAGGTGTGCACGTATTGATGCATATTTTTGCGCACTCCTTGCAAAGCAAATACAACAGGTACATGCTTGTTCCCCAAGCAGAAAGCAAAACTTTGACCAACCCAAACTCTGGTTGAAAAGGGGCGTGTCCCATTGACGGGATCTGGAACCTTTCCTGGTAAAACACCCAACGGGTGGATTGCGGGGCTCTCGGTGACCGATAGAGCTCGAGCCGGGAGCACCTCTCGGGCTCTTCACCTGCGTCGAGATCTCGGCGCCGTTCCAATGGTTACCAAATCCAAAAGCCACAAGCAGACTGCCAAAAGACGCAAACTGAGTTGAAGCTCCTTTCCATATTGCTTGTCCGTTAGTCGCTGTTTCTGTTGTTGATTGCTTTTCTTAGTTGTTGATTGTTTTTCTTAGTTGTTGATTGAGCGCCCTCTTTGAAGCAACCATTCTCTGCAATGAAGGACAAGGAAATGAGAGAGCGGGGAGCGCATGGACCCCAAACCAGGACGTCGTTGTGTCAGGGCCATGCGAGTCTCAGTCCAAACCGAGTTGGCCTAAACATCGGCCAAGAGTGAGCGCATGTACAAACCGCCAAAACGGTCCACGTCCAGTGCTAGCCAGCTGTCAAGCCAAATTGGATCACTCTGCTAACATGCAGCCTGGCAGAAGGTCTCTCAAAACAACTCAAGCACAAGCTAAGGCAGGACAAAACAATCAAGGAAGCTCGGGATGACTTTGCCAGGACTGGGCGAATGCCATTTTGCCTCCTGGGAACACTATACACTATGGTGTTCTGCATATGATGCTTCGCTCGCCAACTCCAACGCCATGCTGGCCAATGAGAGCTAAGACGAAGGGAGAAAGGCGAGCTACGATCACTCCATCTTCAGGACAATCACAGTTTCACAAGAGCACCCGCATGCCACTCCGGGCAAGTAGCGCGTGAACCCAGATGCACTGACACACGTTTTGGAAGGAAATCCAAGGAAGGGCATCTTAACGGGCCCTTTTTCCGTGCCCAGGGGCCCTTCGTGCCGGCCTCCGCCAAGCGCTTGGACGGGCTCCGCTCGAGGGAGCCTGGCGGAAAAGTGAGGCCATAAGCCGCCTCCCGGCTACTCGGGTGAGTAGGGTCTGGGAAAACGTCAAAATATTCCTCCCCTCTTGGTTTCCTTGAGGGGGAGGCTTGAAAACTCCAACTGACGTGTTGGCTTCTATGCTGCGTGGATTTTAACAGAAACCTTTGCACCCATGCTCTTCTCTCCTTGGAGCCCTCGAGGATGGTAAAGCCCAGAGTCTCTGCAAAAAACAAAAATCATTGGGTGCACTCCCCCCCATAAACCCCTTGCTTTCGCCCAAAAAACGAGGGAAGTTGAATGGACCCCATGTGGACCAACACGTTGGTCAAAAGCCCTTTGTAGCTTCAGCTGTGCGAGGCTTAGCTAGTCGGGCGTCACGGGGCTTAGCTCATCTGCACCCAGCTTCTTGGGACGCAAAGCCCTCCACCCATTGAAACCACCTGATCGATGTCTGGACCCGACATCATGAGCATTTGGAGATTGGTCGACGCTACCTGTCCATCCAGGTCTGAAAAAAAAACCCAATGAATTGCCATCCGGGCGATTCCTGCCACTGCGCCTCCCCCGCCAGGGCCAGGGAAAGCTCAAGCAAGAAGCTGCGGGCCGTTTGTAGTACTGAGCTTCCCGCTCTCCAGAGAATCAAACCAGATTTAGAAGAGGCCTTCAGTAACTGGGGTTCAGTAGATGCTGTCAAAATGGGACTTATCAAGCATGCAAAAGAAAACAGTGCCATGTCGGTCAGACTTTGAAATATGCCATGCCATGGCCACTGTCATAAGTGCGGCACAGGGTAGACCCTCGAGACTTGTCCTTCGTTGCAATGCCTCGCTTACAGATTGACGGACCAAAACTTGCCTCCCTATTTGTGTGGTTTGGGGGCCACCTTAAGTACCGGTCTCGGATACCGGCGCATGTTTGAAGAGCACCTTGCGGTAAATCCAACCAAACCCAAGGCAAGCACAAACCAGTCATGATGGAAATTGGGCCTGTAGTCAAATGTACACATGTATGTGTATAAATACACACATATGTTCAGGCTCTAGGTCCCCTCCTCCCCCCCACCCATGGTCAGCGTACCCCCACCCGCCCTGAGGTTCAGGGTGTAGGGTTGTCTGAGGCTTGCTTAGTTTAGAGTGAGTTTCGGCTTCGTTGTGTGCAGACTCTCCATAACCCCGAGGACCGGGAGATGCGCGGGCATGTTGGGGGGGGAGATACCATTGGGAGGGGGAGGGGGGCTTGGGACCGGGAACATATGTGCATATTGTGTATATATACAGATATTTATCTATATATATATACGTATATTATATATATACGTATGTAGTACACAGTACACACAAAATTAATATGTGAATTTCCGCGCTTCCCCTTTTCGCACAAACAGTAAAAAGCAAGAAACATGTGTTTCCTAACTCTACCCCACTGGGCACCAAACTGGGACAAACCCCCACTGCGCGCGCCTCGAGGGCTGACCCGAAGCGAAGGCTTGGCCTGCCAAAGGGGATCCTTCTGGCCGTTCTGGCATGCGCAGCAAATCAAACATTGGTCAAACACTGGAGCCCGTTTGTTGGCCGTGCTCACGAGAAGGGGGCGGTCGTCCGACGAAAGTGAGTGAAGGAGCCCGTTTCATATTTGGACCCTAAAATTTACGCGAGCCTTGCAGATTCTCGTATGTGCGGGTCAAAGCGGGTGGCCCTATGAGTGCGATCCAGAGGCCCCATGACGCTTTTGGAGTGCCAAAGAGGGATCCACGGGCGACATGTGTCCACGTGCCGAAACAGGAACAAATCTCAGAATGGCGGTGTTTTCTTTCAGGTCTGTTGAAAACCAAGCCAAAAAGGGTACCCTAAAACACGAGTGGCCAATGCACTTTGTCTCCGTCACATGGCGCGGTCGCGCCGTTGTTAGCGCTTAGGGAGTTGCCGCGGTGATGGTGCCGTGATCAACCAGAGACCCTCACATCATTGGCCCCACATAAAGAGTTCAAACCACAAATAGGGGACTCCCTAACTACTTTGTCAGGTCGGTCGCAGCCCCGACATCGAAACGATGAGGCTGGTACATCGCCTGACAACCAGAGACAACCCAATTGACAGGAATCCGGGATCATCTTTCGGAGCAATCATGTTTCGAAGGTAGTCTCAAGAGCACCCTGGAATGAGACGACAATCGCTGGGCCCATTCACTAAATGTCCTCCAAGAACAAAGAAGCAGCATCGTGCGCCCTGTTTCAGAAAAGTAATCTGCTCTGATTTTGTGGGCCTCCAAATGGTCCCTGATTGCTTGGTTTCTTTTGCCAGGGATGAGCTCCTCTCCTTCACAATGAAGAACTGTTTGGTCGTGGCTCCCTGGGGTGCCATAGAGGCATGACAAGCAGCAAGCGAATCAGGGCCCTCTTGCCTGCTGTTAAACAGCAAATCGGTACCTAATTTCGACGTACATCCATATATGCGCACGTAGCTCGCCCAAGCTATTTCTTGGTTGGAATTCAACAAAACTCATCAAAAAAAAGACATATTTTCCCAAGTGTCTCCATTTTGGTTTTGAGGTGGTCTTGGACAGTGTCCCTTTCTGGGGACCGTTTTATCATCGGGAACCTTCATGAATTGCCAAACATTGGGAGCCAAACAGGTCACAAAACAGACATGTCAAGCTGCACAGCAAAGGGCCATGGCTCATCTTGTGGCTGTGCTTTGCGATTGACCAAGGCTCTTGTGAGCTTTAGAATTAGCGATTTCTGGGCCGCAACTCACCGGATCCCCCTATGTCTAGCTCATATTCTATTTTGAAGCAACCAGATTCAGATCCGTAGCAAGGGGAGCTATTGTAGCCCAATAGTGGCTAGTGTGCACAAGCGACCAAGGACAAAGAGCCATGACCTTCCCATGGAGCGCTTGCTGCCTCCGTCCCGCGCTTCGAGAGGCTCCGCTCTAGGGAGCCTAGCGGGGATAAGACCGGACACTCCACTGGGTTCGTTGGGTCAACAAGCTAGTTGTTGCTTCATGTACCTGGTAGAGCAGTATGTTTAATGCAGTGTGCCTGTGTTTAGGTAGTTGTTTGTTTTATGCGTATAAGTTGTTGGTTGTTTAAGTGTTTGTCTATGCGTGCATGTGCTGCTTTTTGTGGGTCGGTGGCCGGTCGGTCGGTCGGTTGGTCGGTCGGTTGGTGGGTTGGTCTGTTAGCTTGGTTGCTTGAGTGCTTGAATGCTCGAACGCTTGATTGCTGGCTGGCTGGCTGGCTGGCTGGCTGGGCTGGCTGGGCTGGCTGGCTGGCTCACTTGCTTGCTTGCTCGCTCGCTTGTTTGCTCACTTGCTCGTCGGCTCGCTCCTTCGCTCGCTTGCTTGCTTGCTGGCTGGCCGCTTGCTTGCTTGGTTGCTTTCTTGCTTGCTTGCCTGCCTGCCTGCCTGCTTGCTTGCCTGCCTGCCTGCTTGCTTGCTTGCTTGCTTGCGTTCGCGCGTGGGTGGGCGCGGGCGTGCGGGCGTGCTCCGTTGGTTAGATAGTGAGTTAGCTGGCTGGCTGGCTGGCTGGCTGGCTGGCTGGCTGGCTGGCTGGCTGGCTGGCTGGCTGGCTGGCTGGCATGGTTGTTTGCTTGCTTGCCTGTTTGTTTTGCTTTCGTGTGTGTGTGTTTGATGTGTTTGTCTTGTTTGGATTTCTATTTGCTTGCTTGCCTGCTTGCCGAATGCTCTTTAGCTTGTTTGCTTGCGTGCTTGCATGCGTGCTGGCGTGTGATTGCGCTTCAGCGCGCATGCATGTGTGCTTAAGTATGCTTACTTTCTTGTGCTTGCGTGCATATTTGCGTGCTTGCTTGCTTGCCTTGCGTGCTTGCGTGCTTGCGTGCTTGCGTGCTTGCGTACTTGCGTGCTTGCGTGCGTGACTGCGTGCCTGTGCGCTTGCGTGCCTCCACGTGCTTGCTTGCTTGCTTGCTTGCTTGCCTGCCTGCCTGCCTGCCTGCCTGCCTGCCTGCCTGCCTGCCTGCCTGCCTGCCTGCCTGCCTGCCTGCCTGCCTGCCTGCTTGCTTGCTTGCTTGCTTGCTTGCTTGCTTGCTTGCTTGCTTGCTTGCTTGCTCTTGCTTGTGTTTGTGTTTGTGATTGTCCTTGTTGTGTGTGTGTTTCTGTTTCTGGTTGTGTTGCGCGTTATGTTTTAGTGGTTGCGCGTTTGTGTGTTTGCTTGCAGTGCGCGCGGTTGGTTGTATGATGGTGTGTTTGTCCGTTTGAGAGATTGTGTCGTTGTGTCTGCGTGTCAGCATGCCTTTGTGATTGTTTGTGTGTGTGTTTGTGTTTGCGAGTGTGTGTGCGTGTCTGTGCGTGGTGCGTGAGCGTGTGCGCGCGCGCGCCGGAGCATGTGCGTGTGCGTTGTCTTGTTTCTTTCTTTCTTTCTTTCTTTCTTTCTTTCTTTCTTTCTTTCTTTCTTTCTTTCTGTCTTTTTCTTTCTCTTTCTCTTTCTCTTTCTCTTTCTTTCCTTCCGTCCTTTCTTCTTTCTTTCTTTCTTTCTTTCTTTCTTTTTTTTTCTTTCTCCTTCTCTTTCTCTTTCTCTTTCCTTTCTTCCTTTCTTCTTTCTTTCTTTCTTTCTTTCTTTCTTTTTGTTTTTCCTTCTTTCTTTGTTTATTTCTTTCTGTCTTTCTTTATTTATTTCTTTCATTCATGTTTTTCCTGTTCTTTCTGTCTTTGTTCGTTCACTCGTTGCTTTGTTTGTTGTGTTGGTTGATTGTAACAATAGTTGGCGGGGGTAGTGTTTGGTTGAACAGGGTTGCACTTTTTATGTTGACTTGATGTGTAAGGGAGCTGTTTGTTTAGCGCAGTTTGGTTGTTGTGGCCAGTATCATTTGTTAAAACTCTGTGCGTTTGCCCAAAGGCTGAACGTGATTGGGATGAAACCAAACAGAAAATTCACCTTCACCCTTTGGGCAAATGAAGGAACTCCAATGCTCTTTCTAGAAGAGAGTCAAAGAACCGCTTTGGCAGAAATCGATAACCTCCCCCCTACTTGCCCGCACAGGGACCCCCTGGCCAATGCTTTGGGGATTGCCCAGTTGGGGTCTGCTTGGATGGTCTGTGAGTTAAGCAGCAACTCCGATTTCACCCCTGCTTAACCCCTTGTAAAGCTGCACTAGGTTTAGCCATTTAGCTAACTCCTGAACCGGCTAAGCAGTGCGTGAGCCAAACAGAGCTTCGTGCAGCCAATGGGCACACAGGCTAACGCGAAAGCACGTAAGCCTGGGGCGCTTGTCTTCAGCCAAATTGTTGGAGAAACGTGATCACCCGATCTCGGCAACAACTCACGGATCGTTGGAATAAGTTAAACGGACTGCAAAGAAACCTCCAGCAGAGATCGGTCGACTCTGGATCGCTATTTCGTGCAAGCGTGCTGCGCACGAGAAAATGAGCGCAGTGCCTCTGGGTCTGTGTGACAAACCTAGCCGATTGGCTTTGGAACTCGCAAACAGGGGCTTTCGACCAATCACCCTGTGGGTCGCCCATGTCGGAGTGTAAGACAGGAAGCCAATCACGCCTCTAACTCGAAAGATGCAGTTGCGCCTACTTGCGCCTACTTGCGCCTTTGCCCAAAGAGAGAGCAACAAGTCAAAGAGGGCCGGGAGATCCCCATGCCACGGGCGCCTGGAGGGGACCCCCGCGGGCTTGCAGACGGTGCCCGCGGGCTTCGAAGCAGCGCCTGAGCCGTGTCCGGCGAAGCGAAGCGGTGCCAAAAGGCCCGGGCCTGGAAAGAGTTGGTGGCATCCCCTGGCGGTGTCCCTTTAGGATTGAAAAAAATGGCTGCGAGTTGGCACACTGAATGTTAGGAACGTTTGGTTGACGACTTGAATCCGTGACCATTTGCAGAAATTGGACCTACCCAAAGCTTCACAATTCTGGTCGTAAAGCAAAATCTGAGACCGCTCGGTTCTTCTGTGGAGAAATCCTAAAGCACGCAGATCCTGAGAAAAGGGAAACACGGGGAAGAAACCAGCTGACTATGGGGACCTGCAAAACCTGCAGTTCCCATCCACAGAAACCGGACTTTTCAAGGCGGAGCCCCGGTTGTCCCATGTCCATGGCAGTCGGGTCCCCCGGCTACTGTGACCATCATCTGAGGCCCGTTTTAGGGGACCTAAAGAACGGCAGCTGTCCTTTCAGCTTGCCCTTAAAGCCGCTCAAACAAGGGCACCTTCCGGAAAAAGAAAAAACAAAACCTCCCTCCAAACATCAAAGCGCAGGGGCTCTCTTTCCAAAACGGCTCTCCAAAGGGGGTGCACCAAGCCACGTTTGTTGGTCCTGACGCGGCAGTTCTGCCTCTATTCGCCACTGTGTGTGTGTGTGTGTGCTTGAGGAGATCGCAAACAACTGCTTGCAAGTCAGCAGAGAAAAGAGGTTGGATTCGCTGGAGCAACACATCGAATCCGATTCTTGGAACCAATGAGGGTGGGGTGAAACCTCCCACAAGAAAGAAAGCAGCGGCCATTGCCATGGAATACTGCAGGATGACAAGATAGATATTGTATGCATACAAATATACATATGTATAATATGTATGTATGTTGCATACATGATTCTACATTATGATGATCCAATGCAGGTATTGCCGTGGGATACCACAAGGAAGTGTCAGCGGTCGTTTCCTGCCACAGCCTAGACAAAGGAGACACAGGAATCTCACAGTCAGAGCCAGACGAGCCTCACCACGCTTCGAATGGCTCCGCTCAAGGGAACCTGGCCAGGACAAAGCGCACCCCGATGGCCTGCCATCCCCCGTTCCGTGACACCCCGTTCTGCCTGTATACTCGTTACCTGGGATGGGCAAATGCCGGGGGTTCAGTCTGCACTGGGTTTGTCTCAAGGCCAAAACTCTGGCGAGATTGCCTTGAAAACCAAGCTTAACCGGGGGTTCCCACCAAAAGAAAACGCATTGCATGGTTTGACATTTGAATTCGTTCGGGGGCTTGGTGGATAAAAAAAAGAAATAAGCCCAGGTGATATCCCCAACAGCATGCGGTGCTCTTTTTAGTGCCTTTTTAGTGCTCGCACCACCCCACAGCCGTGGCAGAACCTGGTGGAACCCTGGTGGAACCCTTGTGGAACCCTCGTGAAACCTTACCTCAGGGCCGCCCCGGACCACCCCGGACCACCCCGGAGCCTATCTGGGCTGAGACCCCAACGCTTTCAGCTGTTGGGGAAAAACGGTGGGTTAGGGGGTAGAGGGTTTTGTGCTCAATCTGTTTGGACTTGGACCCTGCCACCCCACTGCCCCCCCCCCCTGAGACCCCACCCCCGTTTTTGGGGCAGCCCCGGCCCCGCTTTCGTTTCTCTTCTCCCCCTGGCCTGGCCGCGGGCTCGCCAGCGGCAGCAGCCGGGTGGTGGTGGCCTGGCAGACTGTTTGCCTCGTTCCGCTGGGGGTTCCATGGGCCCAAGCTTCAGAACGGAGTCATCGCCTGTGCCAAGTTGTTGGGACCCAAGGCGGCCCTCCTTGGCTTCCCATGACCATGACGAAAGACGGGTGTCCACACTACGCTGGAGACAAATGTGCCCCTTTAGCGGGGAAAATCATGGAACCAGCCATCTGGAGTTGTCCTTGGCTGTGACCTATCCCCAGCCACGGACACTCGACCAAGGAAATATCCAATGGCTTTCTATTGGGCTTTGCCATGCGCTGGCAGGCCCACGAGTGCGTGCGCTGGTGCGGCCAACCCGGACCCCCCGAATCAAATCAAACAGGCTGAAGGGTTCCCCAATATAACAACCATTGAAATGGAGCGCAGCGGGCATGATCATGGGGATGACACGAAAACGGTTCCAGGCGCCCTCCTCTTAGAACACCCTGTGCCCAAGGCCGTGCCGGGCTTCTTGCCGTACGGCCATTAAAAGCCCTGGGCAACGCCTCTAACATCTCAATGAGTCAAGAACGGATTTGACACTTCGGGGGATCGAGGGGGAACCAAGAATAAACCGTGAGAGATCCCAAATCTATTTCGACGCACCACACCCCCCCTCTCGGATCGACTCCGGTCCAAACCCACCTGGGTCGATGACATCTTCGAGGAGACCCGCGCCAGCTCCAGTTCTGCCGGCGTTTTCAGGTGAACAGACGTGGCGACTTTGTCCTTTTCTGGGTACTTTGGGTGTCATCCCCGGTTTTGTCAAATCGGCCTTCACTTTCTCTGTACAACTGATGGCGATGCAGCGAATTCATCCTTTGGCGGGTTCCCTCTTGCCAGAAGCAGCCAGAACTCTGAACTCCATTACGTCATTCATCACCCCACCAAATGACCCCTCCCTTTGCAATTACCATCCGATGGTGATGGTGAAGCCATCTTTCTTCAAAACAACAAACAAGACATAATATGTTCAACATAATGTGTTCCACTAGTGACCAGGTCACATCATATTAATATTGTTTCACCATGGTAGCAGTGGTAGCAAGTCCGGTGCACCCAGTGCACCCTTGAGAAAAAAAAGTAGAGGGACGTCCGCAAAAGCAGGTGAGTCTTCGGGCTTTGATTGGCCTCCGCTCGGTCGTTGGAACTCGGAGCCTGTTCCAAATTCTATGGCCCCAAACGTCACCCCCACCAAACGGTCAAGTTGCCCCCGAAAGCGGGGGGAAATGTAGGGAACAGTTGTCCGGATGGCCTTCTGTTTGGCTTCCCTCAGAGGCAGCCCGATGTCAGGTGACCCCGAAAACGACAGCTTCGCCTCCATCCCAGGCCACGGCCACACGGAAGTGGTCCGCGCCTGACGCCCCAGGCGGATCGTTTTCTCATTTCATCCTGCCTTGGGGCACGTGGACGCCTTTACATGTACACGTCCAATTCTGTGAATACACGCAGTCAATTCAAAACACATGCAAATACAAGTACACAAGCATGCAAATCGTCTGACAGGAAATTCCAAAGCGAGCCGCGAAATGGATGTGCCTTAAACTATACGGGTAGCCAGCCATTTTGGTAGCTCCCGTAGTTGTCAACCCAAATGGAAGTGTTTTTGCTGACCTTCACAAGTTTTGAGGGTGCGGGTTTCTCCAAGTTTCCCACGGGAAATAAGGGGAATCCCTTCGTCGTTTTCGTTTGGTTGTAACGAGAAACCATCAAAGAAGAGAAAAAATGGTGGACCGCTGAGGAGCATGGCTGTGTCAAATTGACTATGCCCTTTTGCTTTAGATTTCAAGGACATGAGAAATCCTGGTGAAGGAATCATCTCCATGACTGCGTAAGATCGCCAGTTCTTATAGGGTGGAAGAATGGCTCGGAACCCAAGACGCTCCAGACTCTCGAGGGGTATGGGAAAGAAAGCACTCTTTTGACAAGCAACACAGAACATGACAATCAATTTGCAGAAACACGCCTTGAAAAATAACCCTTCTTTTGAGGGTCCCATATTGGTGGCTCAAAAATGCAAAGCACTGGACTTGTGAAGCAAAGTGCACAGAGAACCACCGATTCCTGCAAAAGACAATACAGGAAGGTGCTCCGGCAAGTATTCACCGACTTCACAAAGACAAAGAGGGAAATGCACAAAATGAAATGGGCCTGAACTTTAATTAGGGACCCTTTGATGGACATCATTTAGGTGGGGATCCATGTCCACCAACCACTTTGGAGGGGGGTTCCCTGTTGAAATTCATAGCCAAACATGGCGGCCGAAGGGTAGGGCATTCAACAAATCTGGCCCTCGGCCCTGGCAATACTCAAAAAACACAAAAAGCCAACACCGCCAGCGAACCTGACCAAGGTTGACTGAGGCTGCAAACAACCCAACTCTTCAATGACATCCTGTTCTAAAACGGCAACCCCGCAAAGTTATCCAAGGGAGTGGTACAGGGAAGCCCGGGACAGAGAACGATAAAATATTTAATGGCAATAATGAAAGTCACAAAGGGCATTCCATGCCACAAAAACCAACACTAAACTAGCAGTAAACCAGTACTAAGCCAATGCAAAACCAATACTGAGCCAATACGAAACCAACACTAAACCAATACTAGGCCAATTCTACATCAATACTAAACGAACAAGAAGCGAAGACTTAAACAGCACGAAGCAGTATACGCTGAGCACTACAAAACCAACACTAAACCAATACGAAACCAACACTAAACCAAGCTCAAACAAGTACGAAACTGATACAGGACCAATACTAATCCAATGCTGAACCGGTAACTATTCAACCAATACCGAGCCAACGCGAAAGCCAATGCGAAAGCCAATGCGAAATCATACTAAACAGAGAGCACGGAAGAGGAGCGCCAGATTGGGGGCTATCACCCCGCATTATCCCATTCCCGTTCCACCACAACTTTCTCAGAAGAAACCAAGAACACAAAGAAGGTTTGCCCCTGTCCTGGTTGGTCCAACCACTGGGTTTAAGACTTGCGAAACCAGCCAACCATTGGAAAATGCTGTTTTAATTTTTTTGTGAGATGTAGAGCAAGCAACAGAGCAAGAAAATAGTGATCCCAAGTTTCGGGTGGGAAAAAAAAGCAAGGAAAAAGTGATTTTAGAGCAAACAGTGGGCACTAAAAAAGCAAGAATGCAGCAAACAAGAGACCAGAAATAGCAAGAAAATAGCAAGACAATTGTGAAACAAAAAGCAAGAAAATTGTGATCAACCCTCGAAACCAGCAAATCTGCAAATCACAGCGGGAGATCACTATTTTCTTGCTTTTTTGGAGTTGGAAATCCATATTTTCTTGTTTTTTTGGGAGGCGACGACCCTCGAAACCCGGAAATCTGCAAATCACAACGGGAGATCACTATTTTCTTGCTTTTTTGGAGTGGGAAATCACTATTTTCTTGTTTTTTTTGGAGGCGACGACCCTCGAAACCCGAAAATCTGCAAATCACAACGGGAGATCACTATTTTCTTGCTTTTTTGGAGTGGGAAATCCATATTTTCTTGTTTTTTTTGGAGGCGACGACCCTCGAAACCGGAAATCTGCAAATCACAACGGGAGATGACTATTTTCTTGCTTTTTTGGAGTGGGGAATCACTTGTTCCTTGCTTTTTGGGCAGGCGATGACCCTCGAAACCCGGAAATCTGCAAATCACAACGGGAGATCACTATTTTCTTGCTTTTTTGGAATTGGAAATCCCTATTCTCTTGTGTTTTTTTTGCAGGCGACAACATCCAAAAAAGCAAGAAAATAGTGATCTCCCGCTATGATTTGCAGATTTTCGGGTTTCGAGGGTCATCGCCTGCCCAAAAAGCAAGAAAATATGGATTTCCCACTCCAAAAAAGCAAGAAAATAATGATCTCCCGTTGTGATTTGCAGATTTCCGGTTTCGAGGGTTGTCGCCTCCAAAATAAACAAGAAAATATGGATTTCCCACTCCAAAAAACAAGAAAATAGTGATCTCCCGTTGTGATTTGCAGATTTTCGGGTTTCGAGGGTCGTCGCCTCCAAAAAGACAAGAAAATAGTGATTTCCCACTCCAAAAAAGCAAGAAAATAGGGATCTCCCGTTGTGATTTGCAGATTTCCGGTTTCGAGGGTCGTCGCCTCCAAAAAAAACAAGAAAATATGGATTTCCCACTCCAAAAAAGCAAGAAAATAGTGATCTCCCGTTGTGATTTGCAGATTTTCGAGTTTCGAGGGTCGTCGCTTCCAAAAAAAATGGGTTTCCCCCTCCGGGGGCGCGAGAAAATGGTGATCTCCCGTTGTGATTTGCAGATTTCCGGTTTCGAGGGTCGTCGCCTCCAAAAAAAACAAGAAAATATGGATTTCCCTACTCCAAAAAAGCAAGAAAATAGTGATCTCCCGTTGTGATTTGCAGATTTTCGGGTTTCGAGGGTCGTCGCCTCCAAAAAAAACAAGAAAATAGTGATTTCCCACTCCAAAAAAAGCAAGAAAATAGTGATCTCCCGTTGTGATTTGCAGATTTCGGGTTTTGAGGGTTGTCGCCTGCAAAAAAAATCAGGAAAATAGTGATCTCCCATATAATCCCTATTTGGATCCTTGCTATTTTGAGGTGCCCAAATCACTATTTGATGACCATCTGATCACTATTTTCTTGCTTTTTTGTGTCAACTGTTGCAAGTGAATCACTTTTTTCTTGCTTTTCAGTTTGCTCTTAATTTTCAGATTGCTATTTTCTTGCTCCAAGCCTCACTCCCAAATCACAAAATAAATTATTTTAACCTCCCTCAACGGTTGGCTGGACGAAAACTCTTAACACTGGGTTGGGGCTCCAAAAATCCAGGCTGGATGTGCGAAGACGAGGTCTGCCCCCGGCCCGAGTCCCAGTCCTTGTCCCGCCGCAGTCCCCACCGCCGCGCGCAGGGCGGGAGGCGGGTCCTGGACCTCCTTCCGCAGCGCTGGTGGCCTCCAGGATCGAAAGGCCCCGGTTTCAACTGCAGCTCGCGTGAAATGGGTATGTGTCACAAAGGTATCCAAACGCGGCAACGGTTTTTTTTGGGTTCCCGATACAAGCCCTGACGAAAGCAAACGCAAAAGACCCCAAAAGAACTTTCATGGGTGAAATCGGCTCGCAACCGCCCAGAACCACATGCCTTACGCAAACAGCACACACACAGAGAAGACCCGTAGATACACCCACACACGCACCCACGCACGCACGCACGCACGCACGCATGCACGCGCGAACGCGCACACCCACACGCACCAACTGAGAACTGCCTGGTTCCAGATCATGTGAACACGGCAAACCGAGCTAAGATTACCGACCCAGCTATCAAAACATCGGTTGTGGGTCTTTGTCCAACACAGGTTCATCAAACGAACTCTCCAGGTCTGGCGGTCAACCGTCTTGCTTTTGCCACCTGTTTGGAGAGCGCATACCTTCAAGAGGAATCCTACACTTGCTAGGCCGTACATTTTCCAAGACAGTCTGCAAAGGACCACTGCGATCAAGGCATGCAAACACAGAGGCACGCGTAGAATCCATCGCTCTCTACATCTTCCAAGTAGACGGCGTTGCCTTCCTGCGCACGGTCGCTCACATCCGGACAACCTGTACGTGTTTATAACTGTATGCATATGTATATCTATATAACTCCCCAAAGCACCACATCAACTCATCACACAAAAAGTGCATCCTTTTCTTTTCGATTAATTGCCAAATTGGGAAAAGGGGGCCCCCACAACAGCTGATGGATCCGTGGGAGTGCTCTCCCACCTCCCCGAGCGCCCTCCCGGCATTGAGGGGCGAGATCAATTCACTTCTTGTGGAAGAAACACCGCAGTTTTCCACTGGAAACTGTGGCCCAGCAGTGTTTAACTGTCGCGCAGGGTCAACACAAGCTCTGTCAGGTGGCCACGTGGGGCATGTTGCGGTCGGAGGTAAACATCTCTGAGAAGCGTGGCCATGATGATGACATACTTTGGTGGAGCAACACACGCGGGGTGGCTGCCACCACGAAACCCAGGCGGATCAAGATTTTCAAGGTTGTCCGCCTTCTCTACTCCTTGATTCCTATATGAGCTGGCACGGACAACTCCCCGATACTCATGCGCATGCGTTCAAGTGCTCCCCCCGCCTCATCTTTCCAATAGATGCATGAGGTGGGTCTTGGGGCGCGCCGCAAAAAAAAACTGGAGAACGGTTTTCGGGGAAGGGTTCCTGTAGCCGTGGCCAAGGTGTCCGGGATGTTCTGTGGAGAACCTGATCCCGTGCTTCAAACCAGTTCCGCAGGTATTGGCGAGTGGGTCTTGGTCTGCCAGGACATCAGCTCAAGGGTGTTGCTGTGGACTGGGCCGTCTCGAAAACCATGCAGGGGCCAGTGTGCTCCGCCGATGCGGGCCGGCGTGTCCAGCAAACAATCCTCAATGGCCTGGAAGGGGTCTCTCGTCCTGGTCTTCAGAGGACCCTTCTCCTGGCGGGCCTTGTGTTTAAGTTCGTGTGCTGCCCCACAACGCCCTCTGTCAATCGTGCCCCTGCATCTTGCGGAGAAACGGTGGGACCTCCTCGGTGTTTCGGCCTTGAAGGCCCTGACTGCTGCTGGGCGGAACGCAGGGCGAGGCAGGCAAGGTGTGGAGGTGCTGATTCGTCCTCGGAGGATTTGCTCTCTGAGGCTGCCGCCGTGAGTTCAAAGAGAAATGCTTGGCACCTGCGCAATTTTGGGGAGTGCGAGTCTTCCGCAGTTGCGCTTGGGGGAATCTGATCCAATTCAGCCGCGCTGGACATGAAGGGCTCGTCCGGCGCCGCAGGACGGCCCAGCTTTCCTCCTCCCGCTTTACCAGGGTCTCCAGGTGCTTCTGCATGGAGGCCCTGGCCTTGGCTTTCGCCTCTGCGACGTTCTTGTCGGCGTACATGGGGGAGTACATGGGTACAGGAATCAGAAGTTCCCCCTAAGCCAACTGATCCAATTCAGCCCGCTGGACATGAAGGGCTCGTCCGGCGCCGCAGGACGGCCCAGCTTTACCAGGGTCTCCAGGTGCTTCTGCATGGAGCGACGTTCTTGTCGGCGTACATGGGGGAGTACATGGGTACAGGAATCAGAAGTTCCCCCTAAGCCAACATGTTGGCCAAGTGGCACCAAGTGCACCCCTCCGGGGGTCCGCGTTGGCGACCCTAATCGAAGCGCCAAATTCCCATTTTCTAGAGCTTGTTGACCCCTTTTGCCCATTAACACACAACACACAAACACACACACACACACACACACACACACACACACACACACACACACACACACACACACACACACACACACACACACACACACACACACACACACACACCACACCACACACGCACGCACGCACGCACGCACGCACGCACGCACGCACGCACGCACGCACGCACGCACGCACGCACGCACGCACGCACGCACGCACGCACGCACGCACGCACGCACGCACGCACGCACGCACGCACGCACGCACGCACACGCACGCACGCACGCACGCACGCACCCACACACACACACACACACACTCACACGCACACACGCACACACGCACACACGCACACACGCACACACGCACACACGCACACACCCGAACACACGCGCACACGCGCACACGGGCACGCGCACACACGCACACACGCACACACGCGCACACACGCACACACACGCGCACACACGCACACACGCACACACGCACACACCCACACACACACACACACACCTCCCCCTTTTTGGCCGTGTCAGCAGACTTCCCCGCGACCCTTAATTCGGTCTCCTTGGCTACGCCCTTGCTGGTGCTTCGTACCCTCTTTGCGAAGACCTTTGCGTTTTGCCGGCCGGACTGGAGCAGCAGGTAGCCTGCGACCTGAGAAGCCGGTTCAAGAAGGCGCAAACTGGTAGCAGCGGTCTACCTTCAAATGTAAGCATGTCCCAAAGACAAGAACACCTTGATTCTTTCAGGGGCCCATGTGCACAGCTATATAGCGGGTCAAACAAGTTTGAGCTTGACTAAGACATGCCTCCATTCAAGGTGGGTTTCGCAGCTGGGTGCCTTAAGTTGTTTTCTTTAAACCTACCTGCTGCCCTGGGATCCTGTTTCAGCCAACTCTCGTGCCTGTGTAAGTCCAGTCATGAGCACAGGGTCCTCTAACACGACTGGATGGGATGTCGGTGGGAGAAATCGCTGGTATAGTACTGGTGTAGAATTGGCCGGTTCTAAACAAGTATCCGGGACGCTGGGAGTTTGGAGAATGTCTTCCTTAGGGGACCTGTACTCTTAGGTGCTGGATTTCGCCTGGCAAAGACCCTTTCTCGCTAAGGGTGATCGTGAAAACCACCAGAAGGTTAAAAAAGAAAAAAAAAGAAAACAAGGGACCCGCCTTGGCATGGGGTAGAACTTTCGCAAGGGTTCTGACAGAGTCCGGATGGACGGATAGTCACACCAAGGCCTTGGCTCCACTCACGCAGCAGAAGACCACCACCAGGAAGGTGCCCAGGCCAATCCACCTCGGATCCGTGAAGCTCGAGGAGCTGGGTTCTTGTGACCTGTGCTACCAACAAGCCCAGTGCTTCCAGTTACCAATATAGTATCCAGCAGGAAGCATCGTGTGATAAACACAACTGGCTACTTTGGTGGAAGCTGGAAGCGCTCTCAAGGCAATGTGCGATTCAAACAAGTATTGCACGGGTCAGGGGCACCCCCAAATGGACAGCAAGCAAGTTTTCTCACAGTAGATTCTTGCTTGCTATTCATAGGGTGCGAGCCGATAGTTGGCATGTCAGCTGAGCTAGGTCCTGAATCCATAGAACGTGTGGGAAAAAGCATGGATTCACACTGGCGGACATGTTGATCTACCTGACTTGTACAAAACACTTGGGATGCAGGAATGCGCTCGCCTTCGATCCAGTCTTTGTGACTCTCCCCTCCCGCCCAGACCCCACCCGGAAAAACACATGTAGCCTTTGACGCGCACAACAAGGAAGCCGAGCGGCTTTCTGAGGAAAACGGAGTCGGGTTGCCCTTCAATACATGCCCCGGGCAAGGGGATAGCCTGGCCTCATGATATGATCATCAAAGTCAACCAAGGGGTAGGTCCAAGGAAAATGACCCTTGTCACTTTTGGTCTATAGAACCGCCAAATTGCGTGCACTGTGAAAATTGGGACGAAGCGATGAGCCCAGTCATGCCCTGCATTTCCAGGGCAAACACATGGTTCGAAACGGCCAATCGCGGCCCAAGCACATGCCCTCGGCCCAGTCGATGTTGTCCACCTGCAGCTCCTCGCAAAAAAAAGTGGCGCAATGGTTTCATGTTTGCCAAAAACGTTGTGGGCTCAAGCCCTGTTCAACGTAATTTGACTCAATTGAGCGAGCCCTGAGATGACTCCGACGCGAGGCGCGACAAAGTTTGTTTGGGTTGGTACCTAAAGGGAAAGAGGAAAAACTTTACAGGGCACCCCCATTTCATTTGGTTTGTGTCAAATACGGACCCCAACAAATGGGTGGTGTTCCTTTGATTTCCCTTGAATCCAAGCAACAAAGGGAACTCTCAAACAAACACACACACACACACACACACCATTTTGCCATTGTTTTCTTCCTTGAGCCTTGCTTTTGTGGACCAGTCAGAAGGCCAGCGACGTTTTTCTGCTGCACATACGAGAAGCATTTGTCCGCGCTTTGGAATCGCATGGAAACGAGGCAACATGGGTATGGAGTCAAATTGGGGACCCTTTGATGGACATCACCCTGCAAAGTTATGCCCGCCAAAAAATTGTGACGGTGTTCCGACCATTAACATTCACATGACTATCGCCTTTTCGGCATTCAAGTGTCCAAGGGTCAAAAAGTCAAAAAGAAGCTTGGGTTGGAGCCTCTGTGACAGCCGCAGTCTTCATGGATGAAATTGTCCCCATTGACAAGTATGGAAGCATTAAGAGCTAGTCCTTACCTATGGCAGGGTTTGTTGTATACTTCAAGTTCCATTTTTCGCTTTTCTTTTGCCAATGGAGGTTGAACGTAAAGGGGAATCCACCTAGGGACTGAAAGGGTGCACCGCCCAGACACCTCACACCAACGGCCGTTTTCGTGAGACAACCCTAACACCCTCCAAATGGGGTCTGCCTGAAGGGGAAAGCCACGATTTTTGGGGTGCTTTTGTTTTGAGATACAGCATGGTGGTGTTCAAGGGAAGCCACCCCCAGCAATCTTGAGAACTCCAAATGCCAGCCGCCCAAAGGGAAAGTCTTTTCCCATAGGCGCCCCGCCGAGCCAGTGCCGAAGATGTAGTGGTTCTGCGGGAGCCCTGAGAAAACAGGGGCCAAAAAAAGACTCCCCGAATCCCCGCCAAACGTTGAGACCTGATCTTGTTCTGCCGGCGAAGCCCTCAAAAAATTGGGGACTCTAAGATTGGATGAGGAGCTTCTTGCAAGGCGTTCCTGCCACGAATTTTGGCATCTTGGCTGCTGCGAGTATGTCGGCCCCCGGTGTTGAGAACAACCTCCCCATTCCAGCTTAGCTTTTGGAACAGGGTCGTCCGCTTGAAGCTGCATCTCGGGCAAGTTGATGCCCTTTGCGAGTAAGGCTCTCAGTCTGGAGTTGGCAGGACCTGGGGTTGCTCCTCATGCTCACATATGGTCATGGCAAGGTACCAGCCGCAGGAGACCAAGACAGCCTCACAAAGTTCTGACTGAGCAGAGAAGTCAACCAAGAGTCCGAAATGCCAGCTGGTTGCAGGAGAAAGGTGGCACTGCGCGCTACAATCACCACGATAATCTACGCTTTCTCATGGGTTGGGGGAGCTGAAAGATCAATGTAGAGTAAAGATTCGATCTTTACTCTACCCTGGCCTCCTTTTCTGGTTGCCGTTTTGTGGATCCTACGAGCCCTAAGCAATGGCTTGCTCAATCAGCACCTAGCACCTATACCTTGGAAAGGGGGACAACGCAAAGCAGCCCCATTCTTGCACTGGACACCTGAAATATTGAGTGTTTTTTGTTGGTGTCTTGTTTTCTTTCTTTCTTTTTCTCGGGTGCCACAGATTCTCCAATTTGATTGGCAACCAATGGCGCGTTGTGTTTCGGCAGAGTTGATGCCCCAAAGCACGAGAAACGAGTTCCCGCCATCTTTTAGCCAACAACTCACTCACCCAAAAATATCATGGACCCTCAACTTTCTCGGATATAAAGAATCCTGTTTTTGCACAATTAAACGTGGCAATGGAACACATCGAATCATGCTTTCGCGTGAGGTACCTTGTCCCTCACGTCGTGTTGTGCGCCGTGCCCCACAGTTCCATTGCTAGTCTTTGTGGCGTCTCAAAACTGCCATGTCATTCTATGTGAAATAGAATGATTTACCAACCCTCGCGGGGACCCACCTGGGTTCTGAAGCCGGCACCTTCATGTCACAAAACCCAAAGGTCATGATGTCACTTGCCACCTCTTGGAAAACACCCAGCTAGGAGACTCCAAATCTCATTCAGAGATGAGCTCATAGCATTTGTCCTTCTTTGGATTGGTTTCGAAGAGAAACCGAACCGAATAGCCACCCATTTTAGTTCCACATCCCATTTGGAGGCGACACCACTTGCCCCGCGCCTGTAAAGTTGTTGCCGTCGCGATCCTCGGGCACAAACCAGGTCCCAACACCCACCGAAGAGGGGAACAAGACACGATCTGACGGTTGATCAAAAAGGGGATAGTCTTTCCGTTGGGACCCTTTGGTGCCCCCCTTAAAGCGGACAAATGCCAAAAAAAAGAGAGGAACCTTTTCTTTTTGAATACCTCCAAAGCCTGGAACCCAGTTCGTGATCTTGACACCCCCCAAAAACCTTCGTGGGGGGGAACCCTTTGGTTTGGTTCCAAAGGCGAATCAAAAGTACGCCAACCTTTTTGAGGGTCCTGGCCGAGCGTTCAACCCATGCATGAGAGTCGCAGCCTTTTATTCCTATGGGACCAAGGATTGATAAACCGAGAAAGAAAAAAAGAGGTGTTCCATTTTAGTGGGATTAAAACGCAAACGCACACACACACACACCCTTGTCAATCTGCAAGGTTGATTAGGGTACACAGAGGGGAAAAGAGAAATTATTGGACGATTTTCCAAGCAACTTGCCAAGCTGTGGGGGCGCCATGTCACTCGCGCGATCAGCTTGAGATGAGAGAACTTGAAGTCAGATTCACGCTGACGTTATGTGGTGCTGGGTTTGCCGGGCACCCAACAAGTCAGCAACAAAAAACCAGCGCCACAGAAAAAGGCCGGGGATAAGCCAGGGTGCCATGAAAGATGTTGCGCAAGCGCAGTCACTTTCCTAAGGCTTCACATCTTGAGCATGCAATGGCCGGCATTAGAGGCAAATAACTTGAGGAACAAGCCAACCGCGCGTGGCAAGGGCAGAGTTGGACCTTAAAGTCTTCGATTTCTACTCGCATGTACTACATCACGACTTTCTGCGGTGGAAAAACCCCTCTGCTCATTTCTATATGAATGGAATTCGGCATGAGTATCCCATCACTTCAAACTCTACACATGCCTTGCAATTCCTATGGACAGCTTTGGTGCTCTTTCAAGCCACGGAGGGCAACCGTGATGCGCACAGGGGCAACTTGTGCCAGAGGCTTGACAGTCTTTGGCAGGTAACCTCCCTCAAAGATAGACGTGCACAGGCTCCCTTTTCAAAAGGAATGTCTGCCAAAGGGGTCTGTGCACTTCCATGCTTGGTGGGAGAGTATCTCACATTCTGATTTCGAGACCCTATAACCAGCGGAAGTTCCAGCCCCCTTAACATGAGGCTTTATATCCACAGGATGCTCTAGCTCTCTTTACACCATAGGGGCTTATAACCGCCTCTTTTAACTGGGATGTTCTCCCCCCTCTGTCTATCTTGCGGTTTCCCAACCCCGAGCTTCAACCGCCAAGCTGCGCTCAGGGACAGCGGGGGCAGCACGATGGAGTAGAAGCTGCTTGGCCGCAGCTTCCCGCGCAAATCCACCTCATGCTGAATGCCAGACACGTCGGGCGTCCCTTCAAAGTTCCCAAAAAGCAATGATTGGCTTCACTTTGTTTTGGCTTCACTTTGTTTTGGCTTCACTTTGTTTTGGCTTCACTTTGTTTTGCCCAGCAAAACGATCCAAAGGTCGCTCGAAAACGAAAACGTGCCCAACGGAGGTGTCACTTCGCCTTGAGCTCGTCCTCCAACAAGTCGATCCGGGGATCCTGGAAGCTAATGCTTTCCTCAGGTCCGGGCGCGATGACAAACTGGTTAAACCAAGGGCTGTAATCGCAGCCAGGGAAGGGGGAAACCCTCAAAAACTCAACTGACGTGCCTTGTTAAAAACCCTTGATTCTCGTAGGTGGCTTAAACCATGACTCTCCTTTCGGTTTCACTTGGGGAACCAGGATATGGTTCTTCACATGTTGCCCCTTGATGATGCCCTTTCTGGTTTCCCTTTTCATACTTGGCTGCCTGTGGGTTTCCTTTTAGCAGTTTCACCGAGAGTCCTTATGTCACTACACCAAACCCAAAATGCTCATATTCAAACCACTTCACAAGGTAGTATACATGTATATATATATACATATCGTTATTTGTCGATTTGATGTCACTGACCTGTACTTCATGCACAGTTCCTTTTATAGATGACTCTGCTGCAAGAAGATCAAACAAGGTCATTCAAGGTATCTCTTCTTTTTATTGAGTAGCTATGATGTCAGAAGCTGAAAGTTTTGCAGCGTGAGGCTTCTATGAAAATGCCCAGCAATCTGTCTCCCAGTCTTCAGAAACAAGTAAAGGCTTTGGATTTGTTTTGCATTGTTTGAGCCCGTGCATCTTTTAAGAACCCAAAGCACCACAACTGCACAGCCTCAAAAAATGCAACAAGTTCAAACCTACATGCTCTGAAACCTGCACAGGCTCAAAGAAAGGCAAAAAGTGCAAGAATCTAGACCAATCAAGCCCTACCTCTGACATTGCAGCTGGATTTGCATTGTTGCATTTTGTTGAGCCTGTGCAGGTTTTGAAGCTTTCAGGTTTGGAGTGTTTGCGTTTCTTGAGCTCCAAAGCTCCAAAACCTGCACGGGCTGAAAAAATGCCAAAAAAAAAACATCCAAAGCTAAAAGCTCTGAACACTACACAGGCTCAAAAAATGCAAAAAAAAAATCTAGACCAATCAAGCCCTGACATTGATACATACTGCCAATAATACACACTGCCAATAGCAGTGTTTTCAACACTGACAAAGTTGCATCTGAAAACGCTTTTCGTTTTCGTTGCATGAAGCACGCAAAGAATATGTTGCATAAATATGAACATAAACACAAACACACTGTAAAATTACAGTGTTTCCTGCAAGGCATCTGCAAACCAAGTGGACACTGAACATCTGAACAATACATCTCTTTTGTGCAAGAAGTAGCAAGGTGGGCGCTCGGGGGGGTGACCATATATATATATATATATATGTATATATATATATATATATGTCTATATATATATGTATATACTGCACGATCTATGTATTTGCTTGGGTATCCCTCGACATTCAAACGTGAGGTCGAGCCCAAATTGGGCTCCTCTTCATGTCACTACACACACCCACATAGAGGCCCCTGATGTGAGGAAAGGCCGTAGTTGGGGCCCCCTCAATGATTTCGGTTTCCCTCAACCTTCACAAACCTGCAGTCGAGCCTGGGAAGGGAGAAGGCGAAATGGGGTTGGGGGTTGTTTCCGGCTTGTCAATCTCTGAACCCTCTGGGGTTTGCTCGAGGGACTGCTGCAGAGCAGCAACCATGCCGTTCGTAACAACAACGGAGTCCTGCAAGCTGTGGGTCTCAAGAGAGGGAGGTCCCTGTTTTTGTTTATGGAACAGAAGAGAAGAAAGCCATTGGGCCCCGAAACAGCTGGAAGAAGTTAACTCTAACAGAGGCACCGGCCGATTGAACCCTTGTCCCAAACCCTCGAATCGAAACCATGGTGGCCCAATGGTGGCCCTGCCGACAGCCTGATCGGAATGGGGCACATGCCTAATGTAACTTGAAGTGAGTCTTTCCTTTCCATCTCCCTCCTTTTTCCATACTTGCTCGTGTCAAAATGGACAATCCCAGCCAGGAGGGGCGAACTGTTCCTTTGGCTTTCATGTGACCGCCTCTCTCCGGAAGTCGGACAGTTGACAACCCGCAGTGCTGGACATGCACACGACGCTTGGCCTCAAAAAAACACCCCTCCCGCTCCCAGTTTGGCTCGAAAATGACCATCATTTCGAAAAGGCCCCTCTGGTTTGAAGAGGCCCTCATTTTGCTACGACGCAAAAGTTCCGCCGCCCCCAGCTTGTCGCCTTCGACAAGTGGCCAGCAAACGGCCCCCGTTGGCCTCTTCCCCCGTGAGGTGCAGTTCCACCCGCCGCGCTGACGCCTCCTGAGCGAACCATCGGCATGGCGTTGACCCGGTTTGAAGAACGGAGGGGGTCCTGCTAAGGTGGTCTGGAAGAATACCCTTCTCCTTTCGCCTTTCAGCACTCAGCCAAAAACAGCCCCCTTCCAGGGGGGCCGTACGTCAGATCATCGCAGAGTTCAGAGCCTTTGAACCCACAACATGCCTCTTTTCCGGTGTCAAGGGAATGGGAAATTTATTCCTGGGGCTTTGCCTCTGGGATGCACAGCTAGAACCTTTAGGAGGGGAGTCCATTTTCCCTGGAACACCCTCACAAAGATTGAGGCCTCGCGGTGCGTGGTTTTGCGGGAAAATACAAGGACAACGACCATGTTAAGGCTGTGCTATACAATACTTTGAGACAAACCCATGTGCTAATCAGGGGTGCAAAACCCTTTTAACTTTCGTGGTTGGTCAATACATTACACGACTGATCATTGCGTGGCACCTAAGCCATAGCTTCACCGGACAATTGAACCCCAGACTAAACCTATGGTCTGCAAAGAGTCAGAACATATCACTTGACGCTCTGCACCGCTTGACGCCGTGGACGTTCTTGTTTTTTTGTTGCCTCCAAAACGGAGCCCCGAGAACATGCAGGCTTGCCTTGGTTGAACGCTCCCATCTGTCCATATAGCTCTGCTCTATGGGGCCCCGGTTTTGGATTACCACCCCGTCAAACGCTTGATCTCCGGTTCGGTGTCCCGAGCAACCCCAGGCACCTGGGGCCTTGAAGCCTTGGCAAACTTGGGCCCCGGCGCGGCCCCAGAAGACCGCCTCCGTGAACTTCAGCGACACCTTGACGTGCCGAGCGCGGAAACCACAGCATTGCCCATCCCCTTTAAAAGCTTCCCGGGAAAAGTGAACAATTGTGTATATCTATTTTTGGCAAGTGGGTGAAAGCTTGGGGAGTTTGGAAGGGAAGGGGGGAAAATGGAAAACTTTGGTGACTAAGCCTTTGCCGGCCACGTACCAGTCCGTGATTGCGCGTATGGCCGCCAGGCCGTCTATCTCACCAGCTAGCAGTGTCCCAAGCAGGGATCCTTACATTATGCACCTGAACATTGCCTTGCAAATGGTGGTTTCCCTTTATTTTGGTGGAAAAAGCCATGTTTCAAATGGGCAAAATGTATCTTTTAAGGATTTTAAGGAACCCTGCTAAAGCATGCTTCTGTTCAGGTGTTCTTTGCACCCAAAATCCTTAGTTTGAGGATGCACCCAACTGGTTTGGTCCAACTCAACTGTGGGTCTTGCAAAGGCATGCTATCGGATTGGTGAGATTGAATCCTGCTGACCACAATGGTGTCGTGATGTACTTCAAATCAAATTCTGTCAGGATCAAGGACAATCTGTGTGTGTGTGAAACTATTCGACCTCTTGTGTTACGTGTTTTCCCCGGGGGAAAAAAAAAGAGGCTTGGTTCGCCTTTGTTTCCATGGACAGTCCGACTGTCTCCGCTTCCAAAAGTCGGTTGGTGCCCCATCCTCCAGCTCAGGCTTGGTCCCCCCACTCTTTCAGACATCGGTCGAATTTCAAGCGCCGCTGTCTCCAATACGATCCACGGATTGAAACAGAATTCCAATCCATCCGCACCCTCCCCATGAAACTTATGGCCGAACCCTTGACAGGAAGTTTCTTTGGTCTCTTCAGATGCACCAAGCGCGATGAAGATCAACCCTCCTTCAGGAGTACAAAGAAGCCCGCACCCAAACA